CAAACATTTCACATGTTTTTGTTGATTTAAATAACAGTACTTTAGTCCTGTATTTGTAACACTACTGCAGCACTATAATCAATAACACAATAGTATTATTTGATCAACCATTCTCCATTGGAATTTGACAAATGAAATCTTTTTGTAATGGAATCATTTTATATTTACTATCTGTCTGGTCCCCACAGTATTTTGCATATTATTCAATCTCCTGTATTTTTTAACATGGAAATTAGATGGAGTATGTACTCAGGTATAATCAAATCCTCAAGTGTAGCCCACATATTGCTTTACATGCATTAATATGCACATGTCCTTCTGCATGAAAAAGCTGCATAATTTTTAATGAATGACTGAATATACTACATGCCTATTTAAAACCACAAAAATGCTCACTGAGAAATGTACTACAGTGTACAACATTCCTATAGTGCTATTTGCATCAGCTATAGTCTCTCTCAGTGGCGGTGCCATCAAGGAGTGCTGAAGTGAAATGTTGCGGTACAAATTTCTTTAGTACTATTATATTAAGTTAGAGACTCCGCAACCTATAGGCATAAGATTGACCCAGTACATTAAAAACTCAGTACTATACAACTTTCACGACGATTATTGTAAAACTCAATGTAATGGTTCAAACATCCCCTCTTGTTGTCAGATGAGAACAGTTGGCATTGAAGTAAATCTAACGAGAGAAGGAATCTACTGTAAGGGCTATTAATGCATCAAGCGTTATTGATATTTCTGTATAAAGCGCTATGCAGTGGTGATACCAATGGGAAGTGGGGGGAGGGAGGGGCACAATGAGGTTGTTGGACCAAAAATATGAATTTGCCTCCAATACGTTAATTTGATTTCCCAATCAGTCCCTAACATTGTGGACCCCTTGTTGGCAAATTTCTGGAGCCAACACTGGCGCTATGTAAATCAAAATATATTACACTATATTAGTAAAGATGAAGAGGTACAAAACGATAAACAATTATCAGTCAGTCCAACTTCAAGTTTTCATTGCTGAGTCTGTCTGCTGTTGGAATGTTTTAAGTAGTCATTTTTTTGCGAGGCATTTCTAAAGGTAGGTTAATGTTATCTCAAATACACAGCCTTTAATTATGTTGAAAGGTGGAGAAATTCAAGCTTATAAGATTCATTCTATGTTAATTAGTTACACTGTAAACAAATTGGACGGAACGTTGTAAACAGTTTTCTTGAAGGTTTCTGGCATTGAGCTAGTCTTGTCAAGGAAAGAAGACTTAGGGGTGGGGGGGTTGAGTCACATACTAAGATTGCCTGGAGGAAGCCATACTAAAGAGACCAACAGAAAATTCAGCAAATCAACAATCTCCCAGTACACTCTACTGTTACCCTTACAAATCTCCCACCATTTCTCATTGTACATTTCTTCATTCAACTTGAAAGTTTATTCATCTTAAAGATATTATCATTAGCAGGTTGTCTTGTTGGATTTGTTCTTGTTTGTAAAGTATATTAAATTATATAGCGTTGATGAAATTATATATTGCATAATTCCTAATATTAATACCTTTAATTCTGTACTCGAAAGACTAACTCATATCAAATTTCTAGGAGTTAATGTTGATGAATTTCTATCTTTTCATAATCATATTGATGCCATTGCAAATAAAATCTCAAAGGTAATAGGAATCTTGAATAAATTGAACTATTTCTTACCATACAATAATGTTACAAAAATATATAAATCCATAATGCTCCCCGACTTAACATACGCATTGGGGCCCTTTATATCCAACCAAATTAAACAGGCTTCACATTCTCCAAAAGAAAACACTGCGAATAATATGCAAATTTCATTTTCAGTATCCTTCATTACCACTATTTTTACAAACTAATACATTAAATATATTTGATCCAGGCCCGTAACCAGGTTCTTCCAGGAAACCCCTTAAACCAGGGGACTTTTTGTATTTAATGGGTCTAAAATAAAGCTATAAAAATAGTTATGTTTGAAAATCGTCTGGAGCAAAACATTCCGTCTGAGTCTAGATCATGAGTATGCAGTGCATTAGGATTCATTCAGGAAGTTTGAGGGGTGGGGGATTTGCCAGAGAAGAGGGGGTTTGCCTGAAACATAAACCACCCTGGCTACGGGCTTGCAATCTATATGAAAAGCATGGCAATATTACTCTTTCAGTTTCATAATAAACAGCTTCCTATTACCTTTAATACTTATTTCGAACAATTAAAGATACACATAACTATGTGACCAGAAATGGAAAAATACTGTATTAATGAAAACAAAAAAGGGACTAAACAGTATCAGCTATAGAGGTGCCAAAATATGGAATGGCTTAGAACACAATACAAGAAATCTACTAAGTATTAGTTTATTTAAAAAAGAAATACACAACAAACTTCTTAACAAATACAAATAAAATTCATAATTTTTTGTATACTTGATCATAATGTTACTTATTTTCAATTACCGATATATTTGTCATTATATCATTACATTTTTTTAAGAATCATGATTTGTAAATATATCGTCTTCTATTATTAGCATTTTATTATTATTATTTAGTTATTATTGTTATTTTGTTTGTAAGGGCATCAAAAATTAAAGCTTGCTTGACTTGATGCCTTTTCAATCAACCTATGAAATGAAAATTGTAAAAAAATATGATAAAAGTAATTGATTGAATAAAGTTTATTGTGAATAATAATAATAAAAAAAAATAACAGTTAAGGTCAGCAAAGTTTAAAAATCTCTACATTAGATGCCTGGGAATGGCGCTCTAGCTGTAAAAATGTAGTTTTTAAAAAAAATTATTTTTGAAGTAGAGTTCCTCTACAAAATTATTTGCTTCTTTCTCAGAGTTCCCTAATGGGCTCCTGTATGTTTATGCGTTGTTTTCAATCCATAGATCCCATATTTACGATACTAAGTAAAAAAAAAAACCTAATGTATTATCAATATTGTGGTTGTTAGTTTTCTAGGTCACCATAGTCAAAAATGCCTTTGTATTTGTTCTTTAAACCAATAAATTAAAATGATTACTCTGGAGCCTTTCTTGTGAGATGAAATTTCTTCTTTTATGTTGTGTACTCTATAAATAATTTGTTTACTACTTTCTATTATATTGATTGCTTACATCCACAGTATTGTAATCGTATAATTCAAAATGATCACTTAAACAAGCTCGACATGCATTTTAGTACCTTTAAAAGGAACAAATAAACGTCAGACACTTCCTACTACAAAGATACATTTAAATATTTGCGAATCTTGATTTTCTGTTTGATTGAGTCATAGTCACTAATGATAATTCTGGTTGACTGAGTCACAATGTTATTTTCATAGAATGGTGAATTAAATATAGTACAGGTATTTTCAACTTTGACCTTCAATATGAATGTTCAGTATACTTATATTGTATATAAGAAAAAAATTAATAATTATTATTGCAAATTAGATTGTTAAAAATAATCACTCATTATTATGAGTTTAATTTTTAATCAATTTAAGAAGTGCATTGAATCATCCTTACTATTATGCAATTGATACTATTTAATTGCAGAAGTAATAACATAAACATTAATTTAATTAAACTTCTTTTTATACAGCGCTATTAAATACCTTTTTTTTAAAAAGTAACTACGTGGTATTTAGATTTTGTTTATTATATTTCTAGTAAGAATACGATATAATTAGGTTGCCATATTTATCAACGCCTGGGAACAAAAGAATTTCTTTTCTTTTAAAACATTAATTTAAAATAGTATTAATCTTCTTTTCATATAGTTAATAATGATTGTTTTTATTAATTATATAAATACTTGGTATTTTACTAGGACAAGCAAATAGGATATATTTTTTTCATAGCCACATGGATAAGGCAGACTTACTTTTTAGCTTGTTTCGTGAACCCACCACTCTCCAATATTGATAATTTCGAATAAAAATTAAATTATATTTTGGCCAATTAGTGCACCTACTGCCATGAAAAGCTGGAAATTTCGCTGCCTTGAAATCTCCAAAAATATGATATGTATATTTCTTCTTGTTTATATAAATTTAAAGCATTTAACCATCCCATTACTACACTGTTTAAATACAACAATAAAATTGTATTTTTATTACACTCTGTTGGGATGTTTTTGGCAAAACTATTTGCTAAACAAGAAAACAAAATTCTAATTTCTTTTTCCGCCCGCCTCTGACAATCTTAAGAAAAATATGTCAAGAAACAAGGAATAAAAAAAAGTCTCGCCTAATCATACAATGGTTTTCACTTGCGGAAGTTTTACATTTATAACTCCCAACCTGAAGAGAACAAAAATATATTAATTTATTTGACCAGGTCAACATAATAGTGAGACGTACAGTAGTGTCGAATCTCCTTGTGTTTTAATTCAGATACAGTTATTTTTTATTACTATTTTTGCGCTTATATAACTACGTGTATGAATAATTTATGTATTAGGCGGAGATAGCAATTTTATTGATTGCAGAACATCATCAGCACAGTATTTTATCGTTGACGTACCTCAATTATAGTTGTTAACGGAGTGACCAAGACACTGACCAATTCAAATACAAGGATGTGCTAGTTAATCTGTATTTCCACTCTGCAAACAATATGCATGAATTGTGTTTGTACAGAACAGATGTTTAAATACCTTATTTTAAGTATCTACCACGCATTTTGTCATTCATAAATTTAAGATGCAATTTTAAAAATTAGATGATATTGTTGAAAAATTTATCAATCTTTTGCGGTATAGCAATCATATTTGGCATGAATATTGATCATCAAATGAAATCTATATTCTTATATGTATCACTGATACCAAAATTGACAAATTACTGAAGTATTTTTTTATCAAAAATTGATATTACATGTGGTTTGCTGAAATCTAAATGGCAAGTGCCATTCTTCCCTGTTTCTGAAAATGGTAGAGTCCTAGTTGATATATCTGGTAGTTCATTTGCTGGGATTGTATCTAGTTCCCGCTTGGGACAATCACAGCTGAAGTACCTATCAAAGGAAGAGATCGTTCTTATACCAGCAGAAATCCATCCTGAGAGGATACCAAGTAGGCCTATCTATCAATTGATGGTACTGTCACCAAGAGAAGTGTCAATTTGTGGTGACAATTTCAAAGTTTGCATTTTGACAGATCATTATGTTTTGATTTCCTGATATTAGTTGTCTATTCAGCACTTGTTATTTCATTGAATATCCAGAGGCAAGAAATAACTTATTCTCCAGCCCGTGTGAATGATAGATACACTAAGTTATCTACCTGAGTTTCTGTGTGACCTTGAGAAGCCAGCCCACTTCCTATCTGGTATAATTTTTTCATACGTTTGAATTTATTGCAGAATCATTATATTTTACTTAAATACCTTCAATTGAATTTATTGTTGTAAAGCTATTGTACCAAAGAATTTCATTATTTACATCTGCTGCTTTTCATGGTCTCTGTATTTTGCGTAGTTTGACTGATATTATTTGAATGCAATTCAATAACTGTTTTTTAATACGTATTTGTGATACTGCTGCATAGTGGGTGTGAACTGAAATTTTGAACAGCCAGCAGCTCTATTGTGTAGGGGCTTAAAATCTATTGTCATAGGACAACCTATAGATTAATTCCACAAGGTACAAGGGTGATTTACTGTCTGTTTAGCTCACTGATCCTGTGGCATAGGTACTAGCTTGAATCATTGGTCAGTCAATGAATGCATATTCAACAAGCATTTTTACTGAATGAATTGCCTACTTGAGAGAATTATTTGCACAGAAAACCATCTTTAGAGAAGGTAGCATAACTACAGTGTCCATTTGGTATACTAGTACAAATACACCACCATCTTTAGCCTGGAAAATCATTATATTTGGATTATCAATTTTGAATTGTGATTTCATCAACTTCATGATTGTGTTAACTGAGTGCCACCATTGGACACAGTGTTGTACAAATTGTGTTATCCTATATTGTTACTAGTGTAAGGATTGTCAAGCTGGTGTTTATTATTCATCTTGCTCGCTATCATCAACAGTAGATCAATACTGTCATAGTTTTCAGAATATCTGCAATTAATTGATATCTGTATCTGTACTTGTTTATAAACTTTATATTCCTAAGAAGGATCTGGAATATTGGAACATCAAGGATTACAAGATTAGAATTTTATCAAGGAAAGTAATTCCATATAATTCCCAATGACTGCACTGCATAGCTGTGTTAAGGAATCATACCTTTCCCAGTCCATCCTTACAAATTCATGGTTGAACAAAGCAAGTCTTTAAGTTTATTAATTAGCTTAATTAAAATAATTAGGTTGATTGCCTAACCCATGAGAGTGCTTAAAGCTAATAATCTATATGATACACTGATAAAGGAACTTGCAAGAATCTTATAGTTGATTTTGCCTGAAAGTTCATTATATGGGATTCACCCACGAAGTTGAAGGTGCAATAATTGATTACTTTTGCAACAGTATAATTGAGCAATTTCACTTAGTCACCTGTTTTTAAGCCTCGGGAAGTACGATATCGTTTCTTTTTTCAGCGTAAGGATCGAGTGTTAGCAATTACCATACATACGTTACATGTAGGTAAAGGTGGCTGTTGTCTGACCACATACTTTACGTCATGTTTGTGTATTTATCTCTTAATACACATTGTGGTATCGTTGAAGAAGATTGACTTAATATCCTGTTGAGGGAAATCGTCAACTGATTGATTTACGGAAATATCACTAATCTAAAGAATGCCACATATATTTTTTTGTTGGAAGAGATTGTAAACAACCATCTTCGACAAAATCTTTACATTTCAAATTGATCTCGAAGGATTGTACTTTTGATAAATTATCTAGTGACAATATTTTTGAAGGATTGCGAAAAAATACCACATTTAAAAAAATGTCGAAAATTGCAGAGCTGATGGAGAAGGAATGTCCTTTGATGAAACCTTTATTTGTGCCATGCATGAGTGCACTTGTAATGACCTTAGGGAGTCAGGTCAGTGATGTTGTGAAGGTCGTGCATGTAGGTTAGTATTAAATTCTTTGTTTTGTATTATTTTTTATTATATTTATTATTTTATTTCTGACATCCATGTGCCCTTTCTCAGCGTAAGTCGTATTACGAATAAATTTTGTATATGAAGTCAGTATCATTAATACATACAGTACTTGTCCTGTCTCTTTTACACATCTAGATGTGTATAAGAGACAGCATTTTATGTATTCTGTTCTCATCAAGTCAATTATGGAATATAGAGAAGTGATTGTTATTAATCTGTATGTTTAAATGGCGCGATAATTAAGATAATGGAAATTCATTGGAATTGAACATGTAGATCTTCTGTAGTTTTATTACAAACATTGGCTTTCAGCTTTCCATAAGCTCTTATTAATAAATGAATTACTAAAGACGTCTGAAATCATATGTAAAACAATCCTAACTTGAATATTTATAGACATATACCACCTAATCAAACATGACAGAGCACGTTGTATGGAGATATAAATTGTTATAATAATGTTTTAGAGTATTTAAAAATGTCAGAATGCATATACGCATTTCACCAACAGCGTATCTAGGGATATTAACTTGAAGGGGGAGAAGGTTAGTGTGTTGATCAGAAACTTGATACAAAGATGTAAGGATGTGCTAGAGAGGTAATGAGGTAAATATGTCTGCCCTGTCAATGTCATGTAAATGGCTACTTCTAAGTTTTCCTCACTTTTTTAGGGTGTGTTTCTATAATGTCATTTTTTACTAGGGTTCCGGTGTGTACTATGCAGTAGTAGGTTTTGTTTATGTTTTTTTTTTGCCACAGGAATTCGTTCTTCGAAAGCACTTTTCCAACAAACAATTGTTCATAGCTATACAAACACATCGTCAGATATGCTGCTGTATTTTACTAAAAAAGCTGGCTAAATGCCAGGATGCCATTGCTAGCAATATATTGAATTTAATACATGACTTCTTCAAGTTGAATTGCTTTCACAAATTAGTTCTGATGTCTGCAAACTAACATGCTGAGTACCTGCTACTTCCTCACTAGTTATATAATTATAGCCTCTAGTTATATAAATACCGAAGTTATATAAATACCATAAGGTACTTATAACACATTTGATATTTTTATAATTGAGTTTTTTTTTTTTCCATTCCTATTCATGTAATCAGTATCAGTATGACTTTACTTGGTACTTTCACTCCAAAACACTCCATGACAAAAGTTTAAAATAGAGGCATAGAATTGTTGTTTTAGCGTTAATGAGGACTGTTTAATTAACACAGTCAGTGACGGATTCATGACTATATTAAGTCATGTGTTAAACTATCTGTTTGTTATTTTAGATATCAGACAATGGCTAATATTATATATTTGGAAAGTTGTATCAATACTTTGCATTAAAGAAAAGGATAAAACTTGCTAAATCTATAACTATATATAGTAAGGAAATATTGACGTGTAGAATTGTTCTAGTAATTTGCCGACAAAAATAAGCTTATAACTTCAGTTCATTAATGAAAAATCTAATGTGGGAGTGATAATGAAAGTATATGTATTCTAACATATTACTTTGAGTTAAACATTAATTTGTATATGAAGTCAGTATCATTAATACATACAGTACTTGTCTGTGCCTCCATCATGACATTAATAACAAGGAATAGAAAAAAAAAGAACTGACCAATCACAGTCATTTGTGTCAACCAGTGCGTAGGCGTTCATAATTTGTATGCTCAGTACCAAAGATTGATGGGTTTTTTTTATATATAAAGACTGGAATCTTATAAATAATTGTTTAATTTTGCTTTTGTCACTCAATAATTTCTTCTATATTTTAAGTCGTGTTTTGATAAATTGTATTGTACTTTTTAGGTACAGCATCTACTATTCATTAGAGTTGCCATACCAACTGAGCTATGAAGTGATGATCAAAATTAGTTGACCCCCATCATGGACTGGGTGTGTGTCTGGTTAATTTGGGCATGAGCCCATAGAGTTTATACAGGTCCAAATAAGGGCACAAAGGTAGAAAACACCATCTTAAAATGTTCAATGGCATTAAATGATCAGTGGTGGCATTGGGATGGGGGAGGGGTTCTGGTATCTTAAATTTTATCTCATGTTGGGAAAGGGAAAACATATTTTCCCCCTTAAATTTCACCTTGCCCCTCACTTGCCACCACTGTAAATGATTGATTTATAAATCCTTCTCATTTCCATATAGTCTTTATCTTGTTTTACAAGCCTACTTTTTTGTCAGTTAGTTGGATATGTTTTTAAGAGAAGTGCTCCTAGGTTCTCAGTGTCGGTGTCATCTACTTTATATCAGAAGCCACTGGGCATTGAAGTACGCTTTTGTTGACCAATGAGAGGAGAGGTGAATTTCAGTCAAATGTTCAGTAACAGTTCATTGCCTTAAAAATGGTAGTTAATGATCTAATAACTTGCTAGCCCTGAAAAACTGCACTGAATCAATGCCCACCCAACTTCGTTTTGTGTAAATTATAATATACAGTAACTCTGTTGTTTGTGGTCACTATAAGCATGGTCTGTAAATTACATATTTGCCAACACTTTCAATAATAATATAGCTATACAATGAATAGAGAAAATATATAGTGAAATAATAAAGCTTTAAGATGGTAAATTTAATTATTGCAACATGTAGGCCTATAATGTAGATATCGGCCATTAAACCGAGAGTTTTTTGTGAGCATGGAGGTATAAAATAAATTAAGGCCAGATAAAATTAGTTGTTAGTTTCACATTCTGGATTTGAAATTATTTTTTGGTGAGGCTATTTACTGTTTGCTTTTTACTATTATATACTAATGGTAACAGGCTGGTAAATAGAAAAATTTTTTTTGTATATATAAAAGAAGTAAAATGAATCTTTGTAATGTATTTATATTCCCACCTTTTCTTAAGCTTGACATCATTCTTTCAGATAGTCATTACTTTTATTGTCCATGGAAAAATGAATTTTTTTTTTTTTTTTTTTTTGAAAAATAACAAATAGTGAAGTTTTTCATGAGGTTCCAAAATTTGATGAGGTCAGGGACTTGCAACTAGCAAGTAATTTTATTTGGCCTAATACAGAAAAAATAAATAATTTGTTTTATAACTTCATGTGTGGGATAAAAGTGAGGGATAAAATCTTATAATTACATAGATTAAGCAGGCCTACTGGTTTGTGCTAAGTATGTTTAATACCTGAGTTTGCACTTGTTATCCCCAGGCCATATGAACTTTGAGTGGGATATTTCTCAACTAGAATCTCCTTAAAGGTTTTTAGTACATTTGATGCTTTGAGCACCAATCTTCACATTATTAACACCTTAACAGACATCAATGATCGTAGCTATACAAACAATATTAATAATAGTTATAAATAGCAAGTGTTTACTACTGTATATAACAACTACATTTCCTGGTTTAACTTACAAAGTACAGCAACACCTATAAATGTATAAAATGATAACACAAGGTGTGCAGTTGCTTGGTAATCCAAAATTACTTATGCAGCAGATGGATCAGGTAACTTCAACCTGTTGAAATCATCTGCAGTCTTTCCTGTGGACCCCTACAGTACAGTACTAAACTCCTCAGTGGTGTCGGCTAGAAGGGTAAAGAATTTAGAGGATAATTGAATTAATTGAAGGGCATTGGTATAGACTGTACAATAAATGTTTGTTTTAGTGTGGTATAATTTGGAGAAACCCTGAATTTATGTTTAAGGATCAAATGAGTACACCAGCTTCCAAAGAGAGTGATAGATAAAAAAAAAAGTTATAGTTTTTGTGAATCCACAGATTTTTTAATGCAAATATTCTAAAATTGAGTACTATTAACATTAATGGTCTATGTAAATATAGGCACATTACTGCATTATGCTCTGTTATTATTATGCTAAGGATACTGTATTTTTCTTGTTTTCATTTTCAATTGAAAGTTAATAACAAAGTAAACAAATGTTATTTAGTTATTTAGCTCAATACAATAGCAGCACCAGTGTGGGAGGCAATGGGAAGAGCTTAAGTCTCTATCCGACAGGTTTATGTCTGAACACTCAAAAATATATTGCTTTGAACAGCATAAAATCGTCCATGTTTTCTGTACTAGAGGATTTTTCCACTCTACCCACACCAGGGATTCATCCCTGGACTGGGACTATAATGTTTCCTGACCCTATCAAAAATTCTAATTTTGATACGGTTCCATTATATAGCTTCTTCCGTTTAGTGTCTTTATACAGTATCCACCTCTGACTAAACATAATGTTAATTTTTGTATTATACAATGTAAATCCATCCATAATTTTGAAAAACATAAAATTTTAAAGGTATCTTAGGAAAATTACAAGATTTTGGGTATTTTCATATTTATTAAACTGATCAAAGAATTTTTGGTACTTAAATTTAATTAAAATAATAATGGTTAAAATTATGAAATATTTACAATGTTTACTAGGTACAGTAAACTATACAATAACTTATACGGTAGTCACAACAGATATATTAAGAACTATACTATTAATTAAATAAATTGCAACATTTTAAAATTATCAAATTAATACAATGCACATTTTCATTCCAACAGTTGAGAAAAGATGTACTTAAATGATACATGTATGTAAGTACACAAATGGTGACTCAAAAATTAATACAATGCACATTTTCATTCCAACAATTGAGAAAAGTACATGTACTTAAATGATACATGTATGTAAGTACACAAATAGTGACTCAAAAATTAATACAATGCACATTTTCATTCCAACAATTGAGAAAAGTACATGTACTTAAATGATACATGTATGTAAGTACACAATTAGGAGATATTTTGAGATGATCCAAATGTATGCTTAGCAGATTGTTGCATACACAAGTTGACCTTTAAAGAATCTTACCTCAATTGAGAACTTCAGTAATTCTACTGCACTAGCTTAAAGTTATTAATCGCTGTATCATTTTTTAATAATTTACTGAATATTTTTTATTATTTTGCTTTAGTTTCTTTCTCAG